CAGCTGATTGAGGTGACAGGATATGGAAAAGTAGAAAAAACACATACATCACTGTTGGATCTCCAAAACAATTAGGTTAACCACTATGTCTAGAACTGGAAAAACAGGCAGCTGTCTGTCCAGAATCCTGAATTTAACACAACACTTGGAGCAAAATTTAGAGGAGCTTAAAATCTTTTATATCATTTAGTGATGCTGATTTCCCAAAAATATTGGCCACAGTGTAAAAAATATTCATAAACTTACAGTTTTCTGTAAGCGTGTGCGTGCATGTGTGTGTGCGTGTGTGTGTGTGCGTGCATGTTTCTTTACCAGATTCAACTTGTTAGGCCCTTTCAGGTGCATTATTGACGCCACCTTTCCTGGAGTCTAGCAGATGTTTCAGGTCCAAATATAATCTAAAATATTAGGATAAGCAGAAGAGGAAAAGTGCAAAGCAGAGCAAAACATTATTTAAGTAACAGTTCACCCACAATACAAAACTCATCACCGTCATGTCATTTGTTATTCTCTAATGCTCTAATACCCTCTTAGCTTATTGTGAAACAAATAAAGAACTTTATCAAACATACCTTCATTATTTTCACCACATATGACCAAGAAGGTGTGCTTGGTGTCATTTCACCAACTCTGGAAATACACCATCCGTCTCTAATCAGCCACCGTCACAGGGTCTTGTGTTATTGTATAGAGAACTGTGGCTGTTAAAAAACAACAACACATTAGTATCAAACACATATGCATAACCTTCAGATAAAAGAGATAAACATCACAAAGTATGCCTCACACTTTTTCAGATATCTTTTGATTCAGATGTTGATTATTGATAATAAATCTAAAAATCAAACTTATATCATCATTAGGCTGCTCAAATATGAATCAGTTGATTAATTTTACAGACAGGTGGCTGTTTACAACGCACTAAATTGTCTTTAATAAAAAGGAAATGTTGTGTACAGTACATGCTAAGTTTAGCCTATAGTTTTAAGCACAATATCATGTGGGAGAAAAAGCTTGACTTAGATGTTCCTGACTACAGAAATAGCCTAACTTACTAACGTCAGACATCCCGAGTTGGGAAAAGTCATTTTCGGGGGATACAGAGTTGATTTGCGGGAGGTAACGTTAGCGGGAGAAATGAGAACCTGAAGAGCAATGAGATGAGTTGCGCGCGACGTACCTGAAGAGCGGTGGGGGTGACTTGCGTGCGACGTACCTGAAGAGCTGGGAGGGATGCGGTGGAGAGGGGTGTGCAAAGTGTTTAATGACCGGGCGGGAGACGCGCGATTTCCAGGAGATTATCATTCATTTGCGGGCATCTACTTGGGCATCTGGGAGTCTCTGTGCATTTGCGGGATAACGTTAACGTTAGTCCCGCAACTTCCGGGAGACTTCTGTAACGTCAAATGTCTGATAAAGTGCAAACGTGGTCATTTAAAGACATTAATGTTAACATTCCGACTTTAATGGTTGTCAACACTTAATATAATTCAAGCGTAACTGTTACGTTATCACGCGAGTCTATGGACTAACGTTATATGGACGGCCACGAATGAACCAGTTTAAAAGAGCTGCGGTGTTTAAAATAACCAAATTAACGTACACGAATAACAAACAATCATATGTTTCAGTCAGGAAGCCTTTTACAAGTAAGCATGTTCATTTACTCACCAGATATGTTTTAGAAACTCCAGAGCTCATGGAAACCGTCCTGTGTTGCCGTTAGCATCCGGGCAGAGTAGGCTAGGCTGCTCCGGGGATTCCCTCGCTAGTTTGCTTCAAATTAAAGGAGAAGTGTCGATTTTATTTTTCAGATGGGTAACAACGCACAAAATAGCATTAAGCGTGACAGAAATGTGTTGAACATGTACATTTGATGTTTTTATGCACTATGTATGCGTGAGCATATATAAAAACATTCTTGAAAAGAAGTCAATAGTAATGCAGTTAAGCTAGATACACAAACGACCATGAATGAACCGCAGAAGTTTAAAATTGTCACTCTATTCTAAAATTATTAACTTAACAATATGTTTACAACTGTATTTCCTTAAAGAAAGTCAGTAAAAATACCAACATTTAGGTAGTTTGACTCACCAGTTGCTGTTCTAAACCTCAGATGGAAAATGGCGTCTGGAAAATTCTTCAGTGACTGGGGCTGCATGAATTCCCGGATGTTGGAAATAACTCCACCAAGTGTAGAAAAGATAACTCCTTGATTTCGCACTGAATAAAATCAATTCTAACTCTTATTATATTCATTTATCAAAATCTAACTCTTTAACGTCAACACTTTACTCTGAAATGCTTCAACACCGAGAATTTAACTCTGATGAATTTGCTGTGTAGAAGAGAAACATTAAGATAAAAGACAAAACATAAATGTCAAAGAATTGTAAAAGCAAGGTTGTGAAATGGATGGTATACTGGTAGTAGTTAAGTGTGGTCATCAAACAGTATAAATATAATCTGATATAATGAAGATGTGACATGTTGAAGATATTGAGATGTTGAGAACATGATGAAGATAATAAACAATGCTATAAAGAGAATTCCAGCCAAATACCCAAAGACCAAAACGTATAAAGAACAACATATATCCTTTCCAATAAAAAAAACTACATTTTTTTCTTCACTGTGACCAGAAGTTGAAGGGGAAAGAGTCAAATCTTCACAACACTAGCCTGATAAAGCATCCAGATAGATTTTTATTTTGGTTTTATTAAAAAGAACTGTTTGTATAAATTGCATAAATTACAAATATAAGTTGTTTCATATTTTCATATTTGTCTTCTAAAAACTGGATTTAAACAAAGAAAAAAACGCAAGTCCAGATAGTACTTCCAAAAATGTTTATGTTAAAGTTTGAAATATCAGTAAATAAGGATCTGACAGGGCTTTAAAATTATATTCTATTATTATTTTTTTGAAGCGCAAAAAAAGGAGAAGCTGAAAAAAAAGAGCACATTATTTCTTCAGCAAACGTGAACAAACTGATTTGTTTTAATTTTATCATCACCTTTTGGACTAATATGAACTGAGAATGATGGAATGACTCTCTAACAGAGGCTACATGCGCTGCTGAAGATTACAGACAAAGATGAGAGGTTTTCACTGACTGTAGGCTATATTTTGTGTTGTTTTAAACTTAAAAAAGGATAAAATGTATGTTTTGTGTAGTTTTTCTGTAGTTGGTAACATATCGAAGACTGTAAGGGGCTGTATGTGTTCATATACGTTTATTTATTTATTTATTTAATATAATTACACACGTTACAGTAGGCTATTTCATTAATCTGCAGTTATAATCAAACCATGTTTAAGGAAAAGTTGGTAATAAACATTTATACTGAAGTATTTAGGTGTATAAAGCATCTGTTTTGTGAGAAGTGCTTTTCATATGACATGTGAGCGACCCGTACAGCTTTATTGTAGTTATTTCCTTGAGTGAGAATAATGCGACTGAAACTTTCTGTCATACACCACGCCCACCGAAAGAGTAACCTTGGTAGTGGAAACGCAAGCCTGGTAAAGGTAACCCGTACTGACCCGAACCTTACCGTTCTGTACCAGTCAGTGGAAACAAGCCATTAAGGTGTTTGGCTGATCACAACAATTAGACAATTCTTGCTTTTTTTGGACATGAGGGTTTTCAATGTCTTGTACATGATACAGATTCCAACCTATTGTGTTTTATTAACGTTTACACCTACACTCAACCCTAAACAAACCCCTTACAGCAATGACAAAAAAACAACAACAATTATAATTGTTGTACAGGGTCACAAAAATGGCGCTTTATTTATGTACACATTCTCAGTAGCAACCTTTCTAGCCATAACTCAAACTACTAGTGGCATGTCCCTTCTACTGTCCCTTCTACTTGGAGTTCTCAGAGCTGCAGGAATATATACTTGAATAGGGAAGTGATTAAAACTGCAGTGCATAAACTGGCCACTAGAGGCTGGCTCCAAAAGATAGTCTAATCTCAAAAACCTAAAATTTTAAACTCTTTAGCAGAAAAAAAGTTTACAGCCTGGTACAAAAAAGTGTTGGTATATATAGCTAATATTTTTCTTCTTAACAATTGTGAAGAGAGTGAATTTTTACATAAAAAAAAAACAGTTTAATTTAAACTAAGCTTTAAAATTCTGCATAATTAAGGGCGTGGGCAATTGAGTGACAGCTCTCTGCTTCTAACCGCTGATCATGGCATATCAGTCAAGCTTGTGCTTTTGTTTTATGTGGCTTTACACAGCCTATAGCTTTTATGGGTATTTCTTACAATTATCAAATAATATGGCATGCTGTTCAATTCTCATTAAGAACAAGAACAAAAAAAAAATAAAAATAAAAAATTCATACTACACTTGAGTTCAAGACAGAAGTGTGGCTAATCAGATGAGTGGATGAGATGTTAAATATGGATGTGCCAAAAGCATAGTTAAATGGAGTAAATGGAGATGATGGGTGTCAAAGGTCACTCTATAGCAGGGGTCACCAAACAAGTTCCTGGAGGGCTGGGCTGCGTCCAAAACTGCATACTTCCATACTATATAGTACGCCAAAATCAGAGCCGAGTAGTATGTCCGAATTCATAGAATTCGAAAATCAGTATGCGAGAAGTACCCGGATGACTTACTACTTCCGGCGAGATTCAGGAGTGCGCATCTCATGCATGCTGCGCTATCCCATGATGCCCCGCGAGCAAATTCATGAAGTGAAGTAAAGCGACGCAACTGACGCAGGTAGGTCACGTGACCATGACAAAAAGGACATATAGTACGTCTGTATAGAACGTACTTTTCTAACGGCCGAGTAGTACGTATAAATTTAAATGCAGTACCTACTGAGTAGTAGGCGGTTTCGGACGCAGCCCTGGTGTCCTGCAGATTTTAGCTCCAGCCCTAATCAAACACACCTGAACAAGCTAATCAAGGTCTTAGTAGGTATACTTGAAACGACCAGGCAGGTGTGTTGAGGCAAGTTAGAGCTAAACTCTGCAGGGACACCGGCCCTCCTGGACCGAGATTGGTGACCCCTTATTTATAGCATGACATAAGGGGTGGTTTTAGTTGGCTTGGGTTGTATTGTTTAGGTGAAGCAGCTCTATACCCTGCTCAGATGTACTAAAAGGACTGCAGGCCTTCTAATTTCTAAGCAGGGAGCTAAGTGTAAAAGAAAAAGGGCCAAAGGGTTCAATCTCAACACATACGTGCTGCATTCACCATTGCAGGATGTATACCTCTGTATACAAGGGTTTGAGAGCCGCCTGGCCTGACGCATCTGCAACATAGTGCACATTCATTAGGCACCTACATGGCAGAAAGGAGAAACAAAAACTATGTTTCCATTCTTCTAATTGTATGTGCATTTTACGGAGTGGAATAAAAAAACCTGGATAGAAACACCAAGATATGCAGAAATTCTAGAAATGTCCATAATAGACCTAAGCACTCATTTCAGTATAATGATTTTTTTAGCATATAAACTACAATTGATACACATTTGCCAAATAAAAACCTTGAAGTGTATTTGATTTTTCCTCAACATAATTAAAACTTACCAGTGAATAGATCTCATCTCATAAAAAAATCTTCACGCTAATGTAAAGTTGATTTGAATAAATAATAACCGACTCCAGCATGCTAAGGCATTACTCCAGTCAAAGTCCTACATTAGCCACATGTAAGTATTGATGCTCTCTATGTATTTGGCAAGAACGCTTCATTATATCAGCATAGTTGTCCAAATAAATGTCTTGAGAGTGCTTTATAATGAACACTCACTCATACAGGATGATCCTGTTCAATCTTCAATCTCTTATGGGCCACCTTCAGATTAATGTGTTTCAACAGATTTAGAATATATTTATTGTATTTTAAATGTTCATGTTTTTTATTTTTAAATGGAAGCTATTAGATATTCAGTCAGCTCAGTTAAAAGCAACGTGTTTATTTGTCCTTTGGGATTCCCTGTTGTCTTGTTTCTAACAATTCCTCCATATCAGGATATATATATATATATATATATATATATATATATATATATATATATATATATATATATATATATATATATATATAAACAACTGATGTTTATACCCTAAGATGGACGACAACAAATAGTGCGCTAACAAAAATAATTCAGGCACCATATAAGACAATATATATTTCTTAATCCTAAACAGTTTGGGAGCAGAGTACAGCTTTATTTCAATTTTGTGTTGTTTTTTATGACCTCCAGTAGAAGTGTAACATAATAATAGTACAAAGCAAAACAAATATTTTGGCCTAAAAAAATAATCAATATAAAACTTCTCCTTGCTGCTGAAGCACCATGTCCATGGTATTAAAAAATATAAATGAGTTTTCCCTGCTTTAATAAAAAATAAATAAATAAATAAAAATAATCAATTCACATGAAAACACAAAAATGAACTATTATGCATCTTAATGGGTACACTGAACCAACAGGCAACAACTAAAAAAAATCCTATTATGATGAGTTCACACAAAAAGTGGAAGAAAATTGCACACAAGTCAATGCAATAGTGAAAACAAAGGTGGTTTATGGTCCGGTGGTGTGAAAAATGTAGAATGTGCGATCCATTTGTTGCAAATGAACAGAAATCGCTTCAATGTCTTCCATGTTTGGTGTGAACACAGGTGTTGGCCAATCAGAAAGGAAATATGAGGCAAGAACCGCACAACCACACTTTAACTGGAGTTTCAGACAATTCTCACCCTGAACTAGAAGATTTCTGAAAGTTTTGGTTTCAGTCACCTGATAATGCATTTTTAAGGGGACAAATCGCATAGAACTAACTACAGTTGAAAACACCAGTGTTTGTGTGGACAGGGCCTATGAGGAGATGTCAACCACACAAAACGTTTGAGAACCACTGGGAAGTATATAATGGCACCAGTTATAGGGAAAATTACTTTTGGATGTAATGCATTAAAATATTGAGTTGCTCCACAAAAAAGTAACTAGTTGCATTACTTTTTATAGAAAGTAATGCGTTACATTACCTTTGAGTTACTTTTTCATACCTCCATGAGGCTTGATCTCTTTTGGAACTTGCAGAGTATTTTTCTCTTTTTTTTTAATTGAGGAGCTCCGCATTTAACGTCACACTGTATGTGTTCAAAATAATGAGAATACTTCCATCTCAGAAATGTAAGGCTCTGCCATCTTGCTTTCTGTCTGATCCCGCAGGGAGCTCATTCTCTCAGTGAATGTGATTCAATGTGATTACAGTCATTTTAATTCAGCAAATAATTTTTTTAAAGGCAAATTAATTCATCTAAAAATGTAACTGGAGTTACATTTAAAAAAAGTCACTCAAATATTATTACTTCAATTTTTAAAGTAATGTGTTACTTTACTTGTTACTTAATTCACGTTACTTGTAATGAATGCATTACCCAAAAAACTATTAGCATAAAACTATCCTTTCAAGATTGGCCAGTGGCTGTTACATCAGTAACCGTGACAAGTGAAGTGAGAAATGGTTAAACTGGAAATTAGCTCAGCAATTGGTACAAAACACCTCACAAAAGACAAACAAAAGCATAAAAACAATCTAACTGATGATATGTGAGTTAATAAGAGTCTTACAGATGCTGCTGAGCGTCCAGGACCCCGCTGGGCCACTATGGCCCCAGAGATAGCCTTTATCCAGCCGTGCATCTCTTCAGGGCTGTCAGACTTAAAAGAAATAAAACACACATACCAGTAGCTTTAGTTTTTAAGCTGAAGTAAACATGAGAAGTTTTAAACATCCTTTCTTTCATATTGAGATGTACATCACAATGCTTATTAGTACAAGAAAAAAAATTCATTGTGATGAGATCAGTGAAGTGATGTTCTTTAGTTTAAAGATTATGAAATAAAATATGAATTTCTGTACATGTTTGTAAGCTTAAAAAAAGTTACAAATGATTTAAGATAATGTTTTTCATATATAACTTAGCATAATGTTTTAGTGTGATCACAGTGTTATACAAAAAGTAGAGGATATTTTTTATTTTACTGTAGGTTACAAAGAGAACAAAACGAATATGTTATAAGACAATTTAGTACATCTTATTAAAATAAACACTTTCAAGAGTTCACACTTAACCAATGATTGATAATATGCAAGTTTGGCATGCTGTCCCCGGAGAGAGCCCTAAGCTCAAAAGATCGCAGAACGCAGGGGAGCTTTGAGCTCAGGTAGATCTCGACAACTCCCCTTTTTGATAAGAGCTGATGACTAAAATGATTGTTATGAAGAGATATGCTGCTGGATGATAGTTTGACTGTAGAGCTAAATTTAGATCGATCAATTCACTTGTAGTGCATGTTTTTGGAATGTTGGAGGAAACCGGAGAACCCGGGGACAACCCAAGTGAGCACGGGAAGAACATGCAAACTTTGCACAGAAACGGCGGCCGGTCTATTTAAGCACTAGAACCGGTGACGTTCTTGCTGTGAGGCACTGGGCCACCGTGCCACCCTATGAAGGGAAAGGTGGAGGAGTAGGGGTGGAAGGGGGGATTCTTCTAATCGAAGATGACTGTAGTGAGAAACCCTGGCTCTTTATAGTGGGTTAGGAATCATCTCATTGGTGGATCATACATAGTTAATGCAGAACCAGCCGTGTTCAATCATAATCTTGTGATTTTCACGTACAAAGAATTTTCAGATGGATCCAAGTGCAAGTGAAATTGTATTTATTGACACAGTCAAGATAAATGTGACAGAGAGTACGGAGCTAGGACTAGGAGAAACCAGAGCAGGGATCAGACGGGAAAACAGGGTCTAGTGGTAACTCCGCACGGTCCTGAGCACAGACAAACGAACACATAAGCACACGTAACAAACTGACAAGGAAACACAGAAAACGTTGCATATATATAGGCGTGATAATGAGCCTCAGCTGGCGAACTAATCAAACCAACTGAGTGTCGTCATAACACGTGACCAAAACAAATACACGTGGGCAACAAAAACAAAACAAACTCACATGATCAAACAGACACTACGGAAGAGCGCACAAACCTGCAACCATGACAGTGATCCTCTCAAAATTAGTTTATAAATAATCTTCACTTAGTGAAGGTAATTAACTTGACAAACTTGCAATATTTTCAGAATAAACTCCTAATCTGAAAGCCTGAATCTAACAAACCTTTCATGAGAAAATAACATTGATGTAATACAAAATTCCTATACAATATAATGCAAAAACCATTTGCATCAATAACGGTAACTACTATTAGTTCTTGTATCTCGACTTCACATTCACAATATAGTATGAAGCACCTTTTGTTTTTCTCCTGTCAATAAAATAAAATTACAAAAATAACTGCATGCATTTTATTCCAGCATCATAAATCAAAGCGTAACATTATTACATATAAACCAGCTCGAGATTTTACCATGAATTACAATGAATTAAATATTCCTACCTGAATGTAGAAAGTTCTCGTGGTAGTAACCAGTTCAAAAAGATTGTCCCTCATCATCAAGTCACTAAAAAGGTAAATGGCTATTAGATACAGTACTTATTGAACAGCACAGTAGTACAGATGCATGATGGGAATGCTGTAATTCATTGAAACTTTTATGAAGTGTCCAAACTTTTAAAACTTGTGATTTTTTTTGCGAGTCAATATTATGATAAACCTGGCTGTCTGGAGATAATGGCATGTTTTCCCGATGTTTCCTGACAGCACACATATATCACCAAGATGTTTTTCCCCCCAGTGTGTTTTCATCCAGAAGTCTTTTTTTTTTAATGTTAAATCCTCACCTGCAGAATATTGCTAATGTCATCCATGATTCCTAGAATATCATTTGTAGCATTTTTTATATCAAAGTGTAGAATGAATGTGAATCTGCTTATTTGGCACATTTCACAGTTGTTTATACTTAAAAAAAAAAAACTCAGCACAATCCTTTTCAGATGATTTCCCAGGAGTAACAGTAATATATGTGTAAATACATTACGAAAATCTGTATTCAACATGCATCCAAGTTCCTGAGATTATTGAAATGCCAAGTAGAAACTTGGTTCTATCTGAGACTTACTCACAAAACAATGCTCAAAAAGCGAGCAGGATTAATATTTACATTTGTTTATTTGCTATATATGCTGGGAGTGTAACGAGATGCTTACTTTGCGAGATGAGACACAAGATTGAGTTTATGTGAAAAAGACGAGAAGAGATTTTTATTCTTTTTTAAAATCCTCAATAATGAAATGTATGAATAGAAAAATTTGTACTGAAAAAAAGATAAAAATCAAAAAAAGCAAAACTATTTTGGTGACTTTTTAAAATCAACTTGTAATAAATATTATTTTATTTATATTTTAATTAATTATAGGCAGTGAAGGACATTCATAATATGTGAATGGAAAATAGATTTTATTCAACTGTAAAAAAATAAACTAAAAATAAATCACAAAACCACAAAATGCGCAACAATTTAATTCAGGAGTCTCAAACTGCCATTTGTGGGACACCCTCTTCCTTCTGCTGACCCGCAACTGACATCAAAAATATAACGAGATTCAGCTCAACAAAACATATATTTTTGAATCACTGCCATTACCATTATGTTTCAATCCAAAACCGTGAATTAACTTTATGCACAAAATTAGATTATCGCATTAAAGATGTGCGAATAAAGCAGCGTTTCCATCCAATTCCATTCCATTCCTGACTAACTGGCGCTAAATATCAACAGTAAAAACGGAATTTGCTGCTATAGGAGAAGCTGCGTGAATGTTTTCTTCATTTAATAAATAACTTGCGCCTCAGAAGGCAATGCTGACACGCAGTAAATGTGCAGTGGCGTTTGAAGGCGAGACACGGAGCACAGACGCTCTTGATTCTTGAGGTCATTAATAATATAATAACACATACTAAAATGGTTAAGGTGTTAATTGGTAATACACTTGAACATGTATTTATTTTTATATTTGTATATATATATATATTAAACTAGTTAACCTAATTAACCTAGTTAAGCCTTTAAATGTCACTTGAATTTAAATGAGTTATGAGAAATGAGTTATTAAAACTATTATGTTTAGACATGTGTAGAAAAAATCTTTATATCTATAAATCTTATATATATATATATATATATATATATATATATATATATATATATATATATATATATATATATATATATATATATATATAACAAAATATATATATAAGATGGGTTGAATTTCTATTAGCATTGACAGCAAACATAACAAATAAATCACTGTGTTAGCCTAGTAATTAGTCTACTCCGGAGCATTGAGCTTTCATGCAACATAAATTTTTCTTGCTTTCATACAACTGAAGTCAAGGCTAAACTAAGCCAGGATAGCTTGAAAATCCTACATAGCTTAATCCCTTATCTTGCTTTTGTTCAGTACCCCTCAGGTGTGAAAAAATCTCAGACAAAAAGCATAAATCATGTGGCATTTATTTGAGCAGTTTATCAACCTCTTGTGCAATAGGAGGCGTAGCAGATATCACAAAAAAAATTATTCAAAAGATAATACCTTGGATTTATTACTTTAAGGTAAACAATTTATTTGGCCTGAAATTAAACAAACAAAAATAAGTTGAACATTACTAAATTTAGGACCCTATTATACACCCAGCGCAATGAGGCTGAATTTGTTGCAATTTTCAAAACCAGCGCTGCAATAATTGTCACATTTTGTGTCACGTTGTTTAAATAGCAAATCCATTTGCATCACTTTGTGGACTCAAGGGTGTTCTATAAAAGAGGTGCGCATTGTTGGCGCATTGCTATTTTGAGAAACTGAAATAGACCGCGCAATTACCTTATAAAAACTAGTCTAAAGTCCAGAGCAGAGTGAGTTAGTTGTGCGCCTATGCGAGTCCAAACGCTTACACATTGCATAATACACACAGGATGTACAGCAACACACAAATATCTTCACATATGAAAAAAAAAATAAAATAAAGGAATAAATTGTTACAAAAATGATTATTATCTACATAAATGTAAACCACTACTTTCATGCCTTACGTTGGGGGGCTTTTTTCAGTTTATTCATGACAATTTGCTTTTGTATAATTTAATTATTATTAGCAGTATTATTTATTATATGAATTGTTATATTTGAGACGTATGCATCACCATATGGGGCATAAGAATAAGGCGTGCTTGGATAAAACTCAGTTTTCTGACCACACTTCATTACTATTGTTCATTTATTTGATTACTGGATATTAAAACTGATTTTAAAAATAGTTTTGAAACAAATTCTTGTGCTTAACAAACTAAATTTAATATGTAAGGTAATGGATGTCTTGAGTGAAGTGAGATTCCTCTGTTTCTTTATCTACAAAAGTAAAGAAGTAAAGTAAAGTGTAAAAGTAAAGAGAAAGTAAAGAGGCTGAATGGGGGAGGCTCATTCTTTATCCTCGTGCTGCAGAAGCTGTTTAACTGTTTTCTCACCAGTGAAGCATTCAGTTTTTCCACTTACAAAGTCTGCCTTGTAGGCTAAATAGCAAATGTGCCATGGTGCGACGCAAGTGACTCTTAAAGAAAATGGGAGATGGGATTCTGATTGGTTTAATGCATGTTATGTTCAAAACACATTCATAACTCATTAACAGAATACAACCATGTTAGACCATGCTCCAAGACGCAGAGCATTTTTTTCCGTCCTTAAAAGGGCAAAAGTGGATTCGGACACATGCTTAATGCGTTTACGCCATGCGCTTTAGACTTTGCGCCTAGACCGTTAAAACAGAGCCCTTAATTTGTTTGTTTAAATTCAACCCATATATATTTTTTGGCAACAATGAATTGTTCCAGAAATCTTTTTTGTCAGTGTATGCATTTAGAAATAATTTGCAGAACAAAACAAAATTATAGGGCATTTGAGAACTTCTTGCTCAACAGAAGTGTGGCAAAACACATTAGGAAATTATTTCCTAAAGAAAAAAAAAAAGACATTATGTGGCATTTCTCTGAGCAGTTTGTCAACCTCTTGCTTAATAGATCTTGTAGCAGAGATGCGATTGGAAACTATTTTTAATGACAACTAAATTATTTTCTTACATCATGTGGTATTTGTTTAAGCAGTGTGCCAATCACTGGATTAAGAGGGGGTGTGACAAGTGAAGTAAAAATAAACTGAATTATCCAAAAAAAAAAACAAAAAAAACAACAACAACAACAACAACAAATGCACACACATTTATTTTAAAATAGTTCAAAAACTAAACACATTTGGATATTATTTTCTAAGCCAAAACCGTATTAAAACAACAACGACAAACTGACATCTTGTGGCAGTTTTCCAACCTCTAGTTTAACAAAAAGCAAAACTAAACTAAATAAAAACAAAAACATTTTCTAAAAGCAAATTTTCTAAAACAAAACACAAATGAAGAACTACTGACCTTTGTTTACACTCCTGCACCTTGTTCACTTCTTTCAGAAGGATAACCTTTAATGGCTCTCGCTCCTGAAAAAGAGGGTTTATTTAATACAGACCTTACTTCATGTGAATGGTTGTTCAGAAAAAGCAAGCAATCCAGCCACGCTGTGAGCACGCAGACAGAAAAAACAGGCCCGAGCAGGATGCTGCAATGAGAACAAGCCTGTAATTATCACCCCCTGAAATAGCCTTTATTGACATCTACTGTATGATTTAGCCTTTGACCAAGCCTCACTCCTGCATTCGATATGCCTGACCCCCTTACACGCACCCACACACATATACTGTACACCAACACTCATATTCACAGCATCAGCGGCTTTTGCTGAAGCAGTAACAAGTTCTTGCTACTGAGACTGAGATACCACAGTTAATATATCACTGTATTTGTTTTTACTTTAAAGAGGAGCTCACAATCAAGTTGAATCCAATTTCATTTAAAACAAATTATTTTCTGATCATTTAAAATAGGAAAAAAATATTATAATTTTATTTGTATTATCTCAGTGTTTGTTGGGACTAAGTAACAGGACAGTGCAAATAACGTAAAATGTAAAATAATATTAAAATTGAAATAAAACCAAATTACATTTGGAATTAGACATGGGACAAAAACTCGTTTCAAGATTTACCGTGGTTTGGCAAAGTCAAGATTTTGAAACCACCAAAGTTTTATGTTACACCGTTCCTAATTTATATGTAATTATTTATTTATTTATTACATTTTTTTTTACACCCATTTTATTCAGTTTTTTAGGGCAACAGTATTTTCAGCAGAAAATGAACCTCTACATCAAAAGCTATGGTTCAAATATTTTAAATGTTTCCTACTGTGATACTATGATAGAATATATTGTGTTCAATTGGGAAAAAGTAATCACAACACCGTGATACCATGAAACCACGATATTTTGATAAAACTTTATAATAACTACACACTATGAATCATTTACTTTATAATAACTACATACTATGAATCATTTACTAAGCATTAGCATCTAGTGAATTAATAAGCTGTTAAGCACTAACTCTACATTAATAAGCGTTAGTAAGTAGTTTATAACTGCAGCTACAAATCCTGTATTCTTGACTTATAACCACAAATATAATGTGCTTAATAATTGTACTTTCTTCCTTTGTTAATTATTTATTTTTCATTACTAAATGAAGTATTGCATTATTTACAAACCAGTTGTCTTTAAGAGTAGTTGGTGGTTTTTAAAATCATTCAGAATGAGTTAGTAAATGAATGATAAACTATTCAAATTAATATTTGTTTATTTTATTATTCAGGCAGATAGTAATGGTGACTTTATATGTTAGTGCGTGCTTTATTAACTACAGTTTTGTGACCTAATCTAAAGTAAGGACTACTTATGCTTTATAAATCCCTTATAAATGACATATAAAGGCTTGGTATCAAATGAACAATCATCTGCAATCTTATTTAAAAAGTAACATTTCTATAAATTTTAAACATTGCTGAATAACAAGTGTCAAAATACAACATAAAATTTAATAAAACAACCACAATATAATAATTTAACAATATAATAGGATGCAGTGTTTAACTGTACAGTAATTTTATTTTAGATAAGGTTGCAAATATTTAATATTTATTTGATGCAGTTTAATTTGTGTATCTTTAAACGAATAGGAATGAATAAAATTGTTTATTTTCTTTTTTCCTGTTTAGAATAGAACTGAGCCTTTAATTGTCATTCGTACGGGATTTATAAAGCATAAATAGTCCTCACTATAGATTAGGTCACAAAACTGGATGAAGTTGAGTCAATAAAAAATCAATTAACCTACAAATTAACTATTACTATATGACTAAATAATAAGAATTATAAATGTTAATTTTAATAGTTTATTAATCATTTACTAACTCTTTCTGAATGATCTTAAAAAATTACTAACTGTGCTGAAATACATGTAACAATGCAATACTTAATTTTAGTAATGAAAAATAAATCAATAACACATTATAATTGTGGTTATAAGTCAAGAATAGAGCATTTGTAGCTGCAGTTATAAACTGCTTCCTAATGTCTATTAATGTAAAGTTAATGCTTATCAGATAATGAATTCACTATTTGTTAATGCTTAATAAATGATTCATAGTGTGTAGTTATTATAAAGTGCTACCGATATTTTTATCCAATGTTATCATTCTGTCAGAATCTTATACGGACCCATGCCTATTTGAAATTAAGTATTTAAGTATTAAATTAAGTATTTTATATTTTAATAAGCTACTAAAATTACTTTAATCCTTAATCAGATTATATGTAGGAATCCTAAAAGTATATTCAATACCTTTTTTTTTTTTACTTTTTAAAGACCTCTTCGCCACTTCAAGTTCTAATCAGTATTAAACCTTTAACTTAATAAACAGTTGTAGTTAATTAAATCAATGGAGTAAAACCATGCAACAGAACTCAGATTAGCTCAGAAGAAACAAAGCTACTGTTTCTTTATAGCTTTTGTTCTTTATTTTTATTGACTTATTCTGAAAGAATAAGTTACGTGGTTGTTTTCAGCGACAGGCTTCAGCCACTTTTTAAAATCGTCTTAATCCAACCAGGAATACGCAGACTTGCATTATCCCATTTTGCCATCTGTTTCGTTCTATGGTTTCGCTACATGTGGAGAGCGTCACATCATCTTCCCACGTTTGTCGCAAATTATGGGACATCACCTGGACAAAGAAATTGGCCAGACGTGCCCCTGCCCAAACCAATCGTGTGAATCAAGCACGCCATTGTTAATAATAAAAGGTAAATAAATATATTTATGCTTTTTTAGAGTCAAACACTTTGGTAAAAGCTTAAAATGTAAGACATCGTAAAACGCGGTTAAGGCTTTAATACCTTCTAACGGCCTTAATTTTCTCATAATTGATTTATCAACTTTTAAAGGGGTGTCCAGAATGTAATTTTAAAGAGCCCATATTATGGGTTGTTGAAAATGCACTTCCATGTAGTGTGTAACACAGCTCTAAGTGAAGTGAAATATCCAGCTAAGGCTTAAATTTGTAAGAGTAGTGTTTAAAAGTGTTGATTCATTTATAAAGAGTCGACTTGATAACGAGTCATTAGGTGTTTCGCCATGACGTACTAACAAAACCACATTATTCACGTGCATGCGCAAACCCGGGAGATTTGAAACATGCAGCCCCGCCCTCTGACACAGAACCCCTCTTCCCAACCCCTAACCCCCCTAAGTGTGTATAAGTGTATAAGTGTGTGTGTGCGTGTGTGTGTGTGTGGGCGCGTGCGTGAGGACGAGGGCAATATGTGTGTGTGTGCGTGGGCACGTGCGTGAGGATGAGGGCAATATGTGTGTGTGTCTGTGAAAAGAGCAGAATGTGACAAGCTAGGAGATCTCCTCACCAGTTCTTGGGAGTTTTAGTTAGTCGTCTGTATTTTCAAGTCCATCGACTGTATTTACATTTATCCACTGGCAGCTAAACTCCACGCCTTACACTATCGAGCGTGTATACAGACTGACTAATTCTATTTTGTTGATTAGCTGCTAGCTATTTACTCTGTCTCTGGCTGAAAGCAGTCAGTGTCAACCAATCACAGCAGACTGTCATCGGTCCAATCAGCGCAGATTAGCTTGGCGCTAAGAAGGGGTTTGGGTACAAATGAATCACTGGACGATTCATACAGGAGTCGCTGGGATAATTAGGTAAAAGTAAATGCAGATTATAAGACCATGAAAGTGTTTTTTGACCTTGCATGCATATTAAGACTGTTGTTGGAGACCCTTACAACCAAGATATGACCCTATTTCATGTATAATATGGGCTCTTTAAGGCTTGGTTGTGTTTATAAGATGCAAAGCAATGTGTGTTCATGTTTCACTTGAAGGAAATCATGTTATTTTTTCATAAATCTCACTTTGATTTTATACAGCTACTCAGCTAAGATGAAAACGACTGATATATTTCCTAGTTCATCTGAAAGGCCCGCCCTCAAGTGACTCTGATTGGTCATCGTCATAATGTGCTGCAATTCGCGGATCAGCTCCACATCACGCCCGTACAGACACGCACTTTTCTGCTGTGTAAACAGTCAGTCAACCTCCTGCCTGCTCTCTAAAATAAAATCTGACAAGTGTCTGTAATGAGTGAAAATGGGGTGCGGCTCCTTTAAGAGAGATCATTTGTGTGTGTGTGAATGTGTGAACTTTCTGTAACAAGCGCATGTGCCCGGGACTTTCTTTTTCTTTTTCTCTAATGCTTGGATTAAGACACTGCTGACAGAAGAATAAAGCACAAGATGTGGGATGCGACCTGTGTGAGCCTTGATTTATTTTTCTGCTGCTACATGAGTTAGGCGAGCTCTCCTGTATTTTTTAACTCAATGCGTTACACGACATCTTTCACATATATACGGAATATGCAGGTGTAAGTAATATAAATCGTTCACATATCTTTTACGACTTCATTATCTGAGATGTAAAACGCATGGGAAAGCTGCCTAAAGAGAATCAATGCAAAGTAGCGCACACACATAGACAGAGGCTGCACGCGCTGGTGAAGTGTGTGTGTTTATAGCAGTTTGACTGATAAATATAAATTTGTAGCTAAATCGTTTGCGTTGCAAAACAGCATTTCCTGTTGTTTACATCTTTGCTACAGCATACCATTAACGCTAGATACTGTAGACGTCATGATCAATTTTAACAAATAAAAACACTTGCAGGTTGTAGTTCACAGCTTTTGCTTTGAGGAGATTTTAACCGAATCCAGCACTGAACTGGGAGAGATTCTGGAGCTGTTTTGTCAAATCATGCTTGCTGTATATTTTATAATTCTCTGGAACATAGTTAATATTGAACTGTAAGCACTTCTGTCTTTGTGTCGTGCCCTTTGGAAGTCCAAATACAGAAACAGACGAAGCTCTGTGGAAACAACAGTGTTTGAAAGCATTTTAGCCATCTCTGCTATAACATTACAGTGCCTCTGGCCAAGGCCCTTAGCTGCGCAGTGTGTGTGCGTGGTAAAAGTATGT